CGGCGCAGCCCGCGCGCGGCCTCGGGCCCCACGGCGGCGTCTCGCAGCCCGCGCGGCAACAGCGGCCCGGGCGCACGGGCGACGCGCGGGTGTAGGGCCCTGCTAACGCAGCCCGCGCTCGTGTTTTTAATAACGCCCAAAAAACGTCGGTGAGCGAACAGTGCCACCAACAGCCCCGCGAGCGGCGGCACCTCCCAGGTGGCTTCATGCGGCTCAATCCATTCGCGGTGCTCACCGAGGCCACCTCTCTCGCTTGCAACGGACCTTAGTGGGTAATGGGCCCCAGTCTGTCCCACTGGGGCTGGCTCATGGCCATTCCACGTGGGAAAGCCCAGGGTTTTCCATGTGCATCGGAGCCTCTCCCCACAAGCCATGGCAGATGGGGTGCAGCACCCTGGGTGGTGCTGTGTGGCCACGCAGAGATGGAGGGCACAAGGACACGACTCCTCTGCCACCCTTCCAACCATCCATCATCAGCCAAAAGCACAAGATCCAATTCCGCCTCCCCAGCTTTCCTGACCAACAAAACCACTGTGTTCTCCAGAGCTCTCTGAAAATCCAAGAAAAGGGYGCAGACACCAAAATTGTGGCTTCCAAAGGTAGCCCACATGGGTAACGGGCAGCCCCGGGACATGAGCCTCCATCCCTTCATGGTTACAGAGGGGTTGGGGAAGCCCCAGATAACACAACCAAACCCCCAAAATGCCACCGGGACACGTCTCACCCGTGGGTCTGCAGGACACCAAGAGGGAACGCTCCCTTCACTGCCCATAGGACTCCACATCGGAACAAGGGCCTCCAGATCTCTTGTGGGGACCTGCCACTGTCCACCGAGCTGGACACACACGGGATGCTCCATGTCCATGCTGAAGCCACCAGTGTGTCACCAACTGCCGTGCTGGCYGTACATGCACTGTGCCATGCAAAACAGGCAGCTGTATTTGTATATCAAAGCAGTTGAAAAGAGCAGAGACGGGCTCAACATCTGGTGCGCGAAGATCCTCATCCACACCCCTTGTGCACATTTCTYATTATTTTTTAGCACATCAGTAAGTTTCTGTGGGTCAAGTGTCCTGCTAACTAGGACACAACCCGTGAAACACTTGGCTTCTGCTACCAGCCTCCCATAAAACTGCACCCACTAACACAGCATCTACTTGGCTTTGGGTCTYGGTCAAGGGACTGGGTGTCTTGCACCATTGGGATCATGTCCTATCTGCGCCCTATCTTAATATTAAAATAATTTTGTCATTTGCAAGCTGCTTGGAAGCCCAGATGGAAAGAGAGGAACATCTCCAATGGCATTGAGATGAAGAAAACATGTCTATCTTTCAGGTGTAAGGAGAGGACCGCTGTGGAGGTGGATCTCTGGACCTGCCCCTCAATGATCAACGACAGCACACAGGCAGGACTTCCCTGCAACCACCAGCATCGGCCCTTTGGGTCACCACTAGCGCCTGCTTTGGAGAGCAGTCAAAGAGCAATGCACAGCCAATAAACATAGAACAAAACAATGGAATATTGTAAAATCAACAGCTTGGATGGTCCTAGAGGGCTCAGAGGTGGGACAGGTGAGACCAGGAAAACCCAAAGCATCTGTCACCCAGAGAGGGCTGGTTCTGCTGGAACCAGCTGCCCTGCCTGATTCTGGGGGGACCAGCACAAGAGCAGAGTCTCTTCAAACTATACACACAGATGCCCATCCAAAGGGAGAACCCAGCATGTCACAAGCCTTCCCTCTGAAGTATGTGACTACCTAAAATAAACTCACGGTCTCTCATTCAGCAGCCAGTGTTTTCAAAAATCATCCTCCTYCCTCCGCCCCGAAACACCTCCTGAAATTAAAGAGGATTTGGGAAGTGAAATCTCTGCTTCCTTTGAAACTTCCAGTGTGCTCGTTAAATAAATCCCAGCGCTTTATCACTGGAGGAGGAAAAAAAGGAAGCGCTGAAAACGATGGACATCTCAAGCAAAAGCTGATATAAATACAAATGTAAAACCGAATATGTGGTTCCCCTGACATCAGCTGTGCACAACCCTCCACCAGGACATCCCCTTTCCCCTGTTCTTCAGGATCACCAGCCCTGGAAGTCTCTTTGAAGCACCTTTGGAAGTCCAGGGGGATCTCCTGGCATCACATGAGCGTCACAGCRCACTGGTGAAACACGCAGCAGCTTCTGAAGGAGAACAAGAATACACAACCTGTGCAGGCAACTCTACTCAAACCAGMAAGAAATTCCACTTCCCCGCCTTCGCAGTGCATTAAATCCTAGGGCTTGGCATCTCGGATTTATATTCCTCCACGGTTTCATTTTTCCCTTAAAAAAAAAAAATCCAAGCTGTTAAGCTTCAAAACTTAATATTTCCTTAACTCAGCTTTTCAGCTCGACAGCTCTTAAACCTAAACCTCTTTAATTGAAGTCTCCTGAATTAAGCTGTCTCCAGCAAGTCACCATCTCAAGCCCTGTCGGGGGAGCCCAGCTCTTTCTGGAGGGGCTGGTCCCTGCCCACCCAGCTATTGGGGGCTTCCTGCCACCCACCCTGTGGGCTCCATTGCTATGGAGCGGACAGGACCCCACATTGGAGACATCACGGTGGTGCTGAGTGTCCCTGTGGCAGCTTTGGGGTGACAGTGCAAAGCACTGAGCATCTCGGGAGCAGTTTGGGGTTGAGATGCTCTMGATCCACAGGCAATTGCAGGAGCTGAGCAACCCGTGGCATCTTGGATGCCTCAGGCCCTGTCACTGCCTCCCTCAGGCTGGGCACAAATGAACAAGACCTTGGAGCAGGGCTAGGGGCCTTGAGGGACACTCGGAGGTTCAGCTGCAGAGCAGGGCTGGTGTGATCTCATACCTGCTGTTCTTCACCGTAACTTAAATGAGGGCACTAGTCCCTGCTACCATCTCAGAGATGCTCCATGAAGTATAGTCAGATGTCTAACACAAGGGGAAACAGATTTACAGAGTCCAGGGAGGAGAGCAGGGACAGAGGCTTCATCATCTTGGAAGGCAGTTAGGACGGCTTGGGCAAGGAGCCGGAGAAGRAGGAGGAAGAAACAGGGCGTGTGAAGAGGAACCAACAGCCAGAACAAGGCTTGATAGAAGAGCCTACCAAAGGAACGCAGAGCTTGCAACTCAAGCATCATTTTCAGACACTGTCCAAGCACTGAGAGCATGACTGATGAGGGAAAGATAGTGCTGCTAGCAAAGAGGAAGGCTAAGAAGAAGAGATTGGAAAAAAAAAGGATCAGGCCAAGCAGGACTGAGGAGCAGCTTGAGGAGTAGTGATAAATCAAGTTAACAAGAAGGCTTTGACAAGATTCATAACTGGGGGAGGAATGAGTTGGAAAGGCCTATCTAGWTCTATAAAGCACAAGGGAACAAGATGAAACACTTCTAGTTTGCAACCTTAAAAAAGAACCCAAGATTCCCYGTTTTTCCCATCCTTATGTAGTGTGGAGGTTGCAAGGCCTCAATCCCTTTCTATCTTCATCATGGTGACCCCATGACATGGTGCTGCCCTTAGCGACTCCACYGGCAGCAGGCTGAGCAGGCAAAATTTATTCCTCATACTGACAGTAGGTGGGAAAAAATACTTCTATTTTTCAAATCAAGCCCAGTCCATTTTGTCAAAAGAGAAATGCACAAAGCTGCTCTAAAAGCTGTGCACCCTTGGAAAGCCACACCAGGCCCAGGCAAGGTATTACCACTCAACTGCATCATTAATAGAGATTTTTGCTATTGCTTTTACTATGACACTAGGTAGGCTGGCTTTAAAGGAACCTAATAACACTCTAGGGCACTTACCAGGTTACTTTTTTTTTTTAGGCTGTATTTAATTTTCTAAGTGGTGCATCTCTCCAACAGATTTATGAGGTCGTGGACAACTACAATCAATTGTAGAGCTTTCCATTTAGTAATAAGGTCACCTCTAACATCCGAGAGTCCTTCCCCTGCCCCTTACCTCCCCCTCACCCATTCTTTTAAACATTTCTTTCAAGCTTTCCCCATGGAAACAGTTTTGAACTAAACCCTCCTCCCCTCACACACACACTTACGTCTGAGGAACACCTGAAGAACCAGACCACGTTTCTCTTCTCTTCCTCTTTTAGTTATGATCATTCTTTCCAGGTACATCCATCTACTGTTATTATTCTTCATGAAAATAAAAACACAGCCTTAATCTCAGAATAGGAAACTTACATCCTTATTCACATGAAACTCCTTTTCTCATAAGGGATCTATACTGACCATCCATCTCCTGTCTCTAGTCTTCCTGTTCTCACTTTTGAGCCTCATGTTCATTGCTTTTAGGTCCTTTCTCATTGTTTTCCTCCAGGAGCCTTTTCCTACAAACTGTCTTCTAACAGCTGATAAGAGAAACAGTGGAAGGGAAGAGACTAGTTACAAAGAAACTAAGAAGCAGAGCGAGTAAATACACAGCAAATCACACCTTTTTGATTCACCACATCCAACAATTACAAGTTGTCTCTGCAGCAGAATTTCATAACATCTTAACTAACAGTACTTTTTTTTTTTTTTTTTTTTTTGACTTTAGTCCAAATAAACCATGGTTTAAAACACATTCTTAAAAAAGACACTTGCATACAAGCAACTGCTGAAGAGCCAATCCAGTGGAATGGATGTCCAAAATGGAATTATCTCAAAGTTCAAGTGTAGATTTGAAAATTTCCCCACAAAGGAAAGAAATGCGCAGCCCTCGGAGACACACCTAAGCTCTTCACCAGGTCTCCCGTGTCAAATCATTCAAGTCCAGCTCTCCTTTTTCAATCGTATCCGAAGCCGCTATTCAGACAAAGCAACCCTTAATAAAAACCAGATCACAAAACCTCCAAACCTCACTCAACACAACCGCTCGGGCTCACAGCTGCTTGCCAGGACCTACTGCCCATTACACAAACCCAGGGAAATAAAGACACTCCATCTAACACTTAGCTCCAAAACCACTTAATTCATTTGTGATTTGCATTTAACATTTCATACGCATCTGTCATCTTTAATTCCCCACTGGGAGAAGAGCAGTAGCAACARGGATCTATCTGCTTGTTCCACAGGGAAAGAGGGGAAGAGAAGCTGGGAAGGGTTTGGCTGCTACTCAGTAATGGTACATTGGAAGGAGACAGGACATAGCCTGAGGTATCTGGGTAAAATTATGAGGAGRAGAGGACACAGAGCATGTTCCAGCATGAACTTGGGCCCTGAGGGGCTGTCTGGGTGGCAAGAAGCCCAGAACCACCACCCATCCTGGCCCTGTTTTCCATTACCTCAGCCCACACACACTCCCTTCCACCCACTGCCAGCCACCCTTGAGGAGCTGCTCCTCTCCAAAGGCTGGAATAGGAGCTGAGCACCAGCAGAGCAGAGAAGGGCCCAATGCTCTCCACAGCACAGGAGCTGCTGGGGTTGAGAATCACACATCACTTGGCCAAAGGAGGACCTCARATATGATGGATCTAAAGTTGCTGTGAGCTCCTGGTTCTCAAAGCAGCACAGTAAGATGCAGAACATTATTCCCTAGGTGGAAAAAGGACAGCATCCTTATCTTGTCCGTAATTCCACGTCCAGAAACAAAATACCTTTAAGAAGAGTTGTAGCTGCTACAAATGGCATAAATGAGAGAAGGGGGCAGTTACATTCCCCTGTGTAGACCATGGCACYAGGACAGGGCAATACTGCCGCTCTCCACTTACTTCAAGGAGCTACAGGAAAGCTCAATTTTAAAAATTGTACAATTGCGGGAAGCTATGAAGCATGGAAAAATAGCAAAGAATGGTGGTGTCCTGCAACTGGGAGGGGAACAGCAAGAAATGAGTGAAGAAAGGAAATTATTTGGTGACCTCTTTTACAGGTACTTGCACCTGTGAGCTTAAGTAGGCTGAATTTTTAGAATTCTACCTCTCTAGTTCTGCTTGAAGAGCTCAAATGCTATGAAGCGACACACATGGTAGCCGTGTGGAACCCTCCCAGGGGATATTACCACCATCCAGAGCCATCCAAGGAGCTGCCCAAACACGAGGCAAGTGGTGGGATACGTGGCTGGGAGAGACAGGTGAAATCAGGATGACCTGTGACGGAAGAGGGGACACCGTGGAGCAGAGCAGCAACCACCAAGCTGTTGTCACAGCTGAAGCGACAAGAACAGGAATAGGCAGAAAACACAGTAAGGAAGCTCAAGAGGAGACAAGTTCTCAGCATTACACCATGATCTACATCATTACACTACAGAGATGCCTCACGACACTCAACAGGAGCTCAATGAAGCTTTGACGTTGCACAGTGCGTCATAYAGCACGGGAATCTCTTCCATGAGACCTTCCTCCCACCTCCCRTCCTCATCTTCACACCAAGCGTGGCTGCACCCCACAGACCTGGCTGGTTCAGCCTGTGGCCCATACACAGACAATTTCCCAGCTTTTCTWACAAGTTCAAGACTCCAAATATTTTATTGGCTGGATAGCCTCTTACTGAAATTACTGTACAATTTTCACTTGTTTCGGCCAAAATTGAGGGCAATTTTGCTTAAATGAGCCTGTCTGTGCCATTAGCTCTATTTCACCAGGGAAATTGGCTTTCACTTGTACATATGACATCATCTATTAACATAACCCCACCAAAACAGGCATTTCAAATCCTCACACTCTGCCATTTCACATGCTGCAATTATAGTCAAGCTTAAATGAATCTTTTGACACTCAACTTGCACTGTATTTTTTGCTTCTCTACAATGCAGACTGCTTAACTTTGTTTTTCCACGAGTTGCCTTCTGGAGAGTTGCACTGGTTTGCATCACACCTAGAAATGTGTCTGCAGAAGCATTAAGAGTTTTTTAGAAGAGAAAAACTTTTATAATACTCTAAAATACTGTTTTACAATACTCTAAAGGAGTGGAAACCCAATACCCTGTGCTTGCTTATTGCAAGGTAGTGCCACAAAGACTTTTCTAATGTGTCATGAAGGAGCAGGAAGAACAACTTTTATCCACTAAACCATTGTAGAAGCCCAACTTGATCTGAAGCCTTCAGGGAGTACAAACCCAAACATATACTGTGGAAATTTGCACCAATTCCCTAACATCTGATGTGAAAACTGGAAGCCAGTTGCTGTTAAATATTTCAGTTCTGTAGCTAGAGCTMCATCAGGCTTTCAGTTACTCTTACCACTGTTTAAGTGCTATAGTAGGTGTCGTTCCTGCCTTTATACCATTATTGCAGTTGTTAGGCATTCTTCAGCATTCAAACATGTGAAGTGCTGCAGCATTTAGGTGGTGTTCTCCACACACTGCCTCCATTTGTGAACAACAGAATTAGGCTGAACACAGATGATCATCTGGAGGGCTTCTGGACATGATCTCAAGAACTGATAAGGACTCCCTCCCTACCTATTTGAACTTGGATTTGCAGTCCTGAAACTGTGGAGACTAGCTTCCCACCACTCCCAGGAATGCATCCACTGGCATTGACCTCACTCAGCCTAAGAGTACTTTAGGCACGCCCAACAGCTTAACACGCTTCTCCACAAGGCTCCTTTAGGATCCATTAAGTGAGACAGCCACAGAGAGCAGAGGCCTGTATGGGAACAGCAGAGCCAGCATTCCCCAAATCACAAGGATTACGTTTTACAAGCGGAGTCACAAGCCCCACAGATTCAATTGTTAGAGGGAAACCATAAACCAAGTGTAATCAAACAGGGGCAGAAACTGAGATGCAGGAAGGGCTGTTTCTGGCAATTATGTAATTAGTGGTCACCTCCAGACAAGGACACAGCCCAGCTTACCACTTAAGTCTTCTCATCAAACCATCTGTTCAGTAGCTGCTACACACATGGAATTGGAAGAAAGTTGTCTTTAAAGTTGACAGCACAAATGAGACTTTATCTAATGCATACTTGGTAAAGAGAAGCAGCCAAAATACTCAGCAGTAGCTCCTATGAGAACTTTCAGGCCCCGTTATCTTCTGTATTCAGTATGCAGTCTACCCCAGCCCATAAAAAAGAAACGATAGTACTTTATTAAAATACTAAATTTTATTTTTTCCACGTACATTTAGTCTCCCCACCATTTCCATTTGTCTGACCACCACCACCACCACCATGCCTTATCAAAACATTCCATACATACTTAAAACGAAGCTGAGGGTGGAGTCCCGTCTTTAAAAACTAAACAGGCATTTTGGACAACACATTCTTGGCAAGGTAATCTGGATGACATTTATCAGACACTGTAGGGAAAGCTTTCAGCATTTGTAAAAAGGACAGCCAAATAATGGTTACAGAAATAAGACTGCAGATTTTAATGAACTGTTTAAACTGTTTTCTTTTCTTACAGAGTCTGTCTCCACTGCCAGAGAGCTTGAATGACCTGGAAGTGTACACAAAAAGTTAGAAATTGAAATCTAGTTTTTCCACTTATTTTCAGTTTACTATCTCCACTTACTCCACAAAATATTGACACCAAGTTACAATAACAAAATGCATTCTTTTTCTCAGAAAAAAAAATGAAGTTGAACTCAACATCAAATTAGGAGACTGCTACTCAGAGTAAGTCCCAATAATAAGAATCCAGGGAAGGTAAGTGAGAGGATGGGTGTGGACCAGCTAGGCAAATATTGGCTGAACTCTGCCTACCCTGGCTAATGTCAGAGCAACTTCAGTAGCTGAGGCGAGCTGCTTTTAAACATTCTTTCAAGAACCTATCAATTTGTCTATCAGACAAGTTTACTCTGAACCGCTGAAGGAAGCAGGAAAGCATAAGGAATTCTGTCACTGGAAGAAACTTTTAACTTAGAAGAATTTTGATAGAAATCTAAGACATATTTTAACCTAGTACATGTCAAGCAATAACTAATTCGGAAACTTGCTTCCTGATACCACCTTTTGGCTTGCCTTCTTACAAGACTTCAGTTGACTTTGGGAGAAAAAGAGGCAAGAAAGCCATAATTTCAATTGCAAAACAGTTCCCCCTCCCAGACACCCTCCCCAACAAAAGAAGGCTGAACAGCAGACTAGCCTAGGTGGCCAAATTCAGCAGCAAGGAAAACCACAGMTCATTTCCTTGGCCAATACGGTGCCAAAAGGAAAAATTCTGTGGGTTTAGTAAGCAAGAGATAATTTACCAACCATAGAAAAGTTGGAAAAATGTAATAAAATATTAGCTTTCTGATCTTAGCCAACTAAAAACCCTTAAAACCATTCCCATTTAATTTGAAGTATTGTTCGTGGTTTGTAACCCTTTGAAGCAGTCTAAAGCTTGTAAAGATTAAGAAGTGGAAAAGAATCCCTGCGTAAGGTTAGAAACTTTGATTTTATCAAGCTCCAATAAATTCAGTTACCTTCTGGTCCTCCGTCCTGAAACAATTCTTAACATAGTTGGCAAATTTGGCTTCCAACTTAGGAAGGGTAGTACCCTGTTATGGAAAAAGGCACATTTTAGTGTATGCAGCCCATTAAACGCCTCCCCTCCTCCAAAAAAAAAGACTTCTGAAGGTTAAGTACTGTGCAACACAAATGGAATTTTCCTGGACTCGCCTTGTATCTTCCAGTCTGCTATCAAACCATTTTCAACATCTTTCAAAACAGTACACCATAAATATTTACCATACCAGTGAAGGCCTATACACCAAAATGGCTTTATAAACAACTCTGCTCATGCTTAGAATCATGACAGCAAATACTTATCACCYTGTTTACAGCCAACACATATATGCTAGTCAGTGAAAAAAAATATTCAGGGCTTCCCTSCAATAGGCTGTAGTTTCAGACATGCTTGCTTGTCCTTTAGAGGCAGGTTTCCTGCCTCAACTTCTTAAAAATTTTAAAGTGCACTCTGGGTTCTCTATTTTAGAGCACATTTTGGCCTATCAGTTCTATAAATTCATGAGCCATTCTACATATATGTTCACATATATGAAAATGTCTTGGCACATACTCCACTGCACAAAGCAGATTCTGTAGCTCACAGATCTAAGTTGATCCTTTTACCTTTTTTTCTTCCAGTTAAGGCAGTAGGAATCACCTTAAGGGGTATGGACTTTCATATGCCACACATTTTTATTTTCAACTACATTTGTTGAAATATCTAGCCTAGAATAAAAAAATATTTTACTGCTGTTCAGCACATTGCAGGAGGGACTCATGGTAACTCAAAAAAGATACATTAAGAATATCTGAAAACAAAACACAATCAGAAGTTTGGATTTTGACAACGKAATGTGCCAAGCACTGATGCTTTTCCATTAACTTGGACACACCAGCCAGTTTACTACACACTAYAGGAGTTTCATTCTACTATCACATTTTCCCTGGCACTCCACACAAGCAATTTTTAAGTTCCTAACTTGAAGACTGCCTGCAAACAGCTATTGGACACAGCAATGCACAAGTGTTTGGTCTTACCAAGACAGTCTAGAACAATCTTGGAATACACTAAAAGTTGGTTGCTGCTGCACCAACTTAGCTTGCTGGTTGTGCTTATACTGCATCTCCCATTAAAAATGGTTTCCTGCAACCAAAAAGTGTATCCTATGGAAGTCATTTAGCCAACTGCTATTATCCAGTGTGTACACCGCATTATTCCCTCCATAGGGACATCCCTGCCCACTGGGAACTGGGTGACACTCACTCATTAGGCAGAGGCAACACTAATCACTGCTTCTGCATGAGTCATGCAAAACCAGCCCTAGCATCCCCTGTTCCAAGAGGTTGCTTTGACCTAGTCGAGTGATACCACCCATCACTGTCAAGTTCACAATTCATCCAGGGCTATGCAATGTGAGCCTGATTAAGTGCACCACAGATGCACTGCATTTCCTTTGAACCATTCTGCCATATTTGGCCTTCACAGGACAGCGTTGCCTTGAAATATTAAGGAAGAAATCACAGGACAACTCCTTGCAATTCCTTAAAATGCCATTTAAGGAGGAAACAGCCTTCTGAAGCTAAATTCAAAAACCCAGGGCTCCTCATAAAATTGCCATTGACATAGGCTTTACATTTATCCGTAAGTCTTTTATCCTTGTCTCCAACAAGGAATCTGATCCAGTCACCAGAATTCCTTTAAATAACGTGATTTATAAGCAGTCTTGAATTAGTAAAAGTCTCCATTCATGCATTTAGTGTTCTTGTCAGCTCCCCACTGCCAGCTGATCTGCAGTACAGGTGTGTAACTACTGAACTGCATCCCTAGCTAACAAGCATATATCCAAACCTGGCTATGGGAAAGAATTACTGCCTCTACACTCTACTATAAACCAGTCTATACAGAGATTTTCACTAAAATTTTTTTAATACTTAAAAAAATGTAGCTAAGAATAATACATAATCCTGAAATGTTATCTGGCAGCAATCAAAAGCCAAGATGACATTATTTGCCCTTCAAAACATGAAACATCCWTTGAAGGGAAATTGAATTCACTCAAACCTCCATCCCCAGGTCAGAAAGCAACTGCTTGTAGGACTTCCTCCATTCATGAAGGGCTATTACAGGCACCTATCTCCCCCTTCTGGAAGCTACAGAGCCTTACAAGTTTCCAAAGTTGCATTCTCCTTTTAGGTCAACCAGTTCCAACTATATAAAGAATTCTGCTCTAGTCTAGCTTCCTAAAATTAATTGTGTATATTAACTAGACACTTTCAGAATAAACACTATACCCAGGGGTGCTGTTTAGTTTTTTTTTAACACAACAGAAGCAGCTTGAAATAAATCACTACTGCAGAAACAAAAATCTCAAAGTTCATGGTAAAATATGGGGAGCTTAAGGACACATACACCCAGGCACAGCAGTTCCCACTGAGGTGTTAACTTAGCTGGATTCTCACAGATAAAATGATCTGTCCCAGAGTTTTTATTCAAGTTTCAACACTGATACAGTGTTAATAGGACAGCAACAACATCTACATATACTTCTGCAAAGTAAAACAAGTAYCCATTTTCTGAACAAACTCACCTTATCTACGGACGCCTGCATTTTTGCTTTAATCTCCTCTAACGACAGAGGGACTTTGGGTGTTTTTGGAGTTAGAGACTTGTCCTTCTTGGAATCTGGAGTCTGAAACAATTATACATTTTATTAGAAACTTGCATATCCATGAAAAGCTGCTTATTATGCAAGATTTGGTTTTCTAGAAACAGTCTTAAAACCTACTCCAATTTACACCTACTAGGGGAACAAGCCATTAGGCAGATACATCAGATGTTTTGCCAAGTCATAAAAGTTAAAAGTTGTGTTCCTAACAGTCCTTATGAAAGGAGGTCAAGAACACAATATTTAACTACATAATTATGGTTTGCCCAGTGAGCATCTTACATTCCTGGGCAGATGTTTATCCAGCTCTTTCCCAAATGGGAAATGAAACTGAAAACAGCAGAAACAAATCATTCATTCAAGAGTGTTACCCACAGCTGCAGCCATGTTAGGCCAGYCATGTTTCAAAAAAGGCATAAATTTGCTTTTGAGTCATTATCTTCCCATCCATTCCATACTGATTTCTGTAGGCAACCTTCCCCGCATGCAGGTTAGTCTGCATGCTACAAAGAAAAGCTGCATAAGCAAACTTGGCCCAGCTGCAAGTTCAATATGAAACTTCAAACATCAAGAGTTCACGTGGATTTTCTGATATGCAAAGCCATAAAAGCACAAAACTTAACAGAGCTGGGACAAGGCAGGTAGTAGGAAACAACAAGAAGCAAGGATCAGTCTTCCCTTCTCAGTGGCTGGCTTTAATCATACTACAGTAAAAGTTTTATCTACACCTTCTGGTACTAACAACTAAGTTAGTACCAGAGGTCAAGCAGTTTAAGACAGTCAGTAGTTTATAAAGAAAGGGATCACTGAGAGTCACCAGGGACAGCCTGGCTGATGTAACTGCATAAGCCAAGACTTAAGAGGGGGGGCAATACCAAAGAGCACAACAGGAAAACATTAAGCAATGACATAACAGTATTGCAGTCATGCTTTCTAGTCATATTCAAAAGGCTTTCTAGTCATATTCAAAAGGAAATTATGTTTATGCAAGACTACAAGCCCACATAAGAATTAACACTAGCTTTACTCATCTGCATTCACTCACTTTTGATTTAGATGCTGGTGTGGACGGCTTGGAGTCTTTTCCATTTTGCTTTGCTTTYTGCATGTTCTTCCCCGAAGATTCACGGGCGGGCTGAAAATAAAGCATCCAATGTCATTTGCCTTTAAAAAAGAACTTTTACCCAGTGAGCTTGTTAACATTATACTGAAGATTTGGTGACAAATGTGTTATTTAACATAGAACAAAGCAGCACAAACCCATGTGACTATCCAATCAAACATGATGTATACTACAAGAACTCGTAAATAACTAATTCTAGCTGACACTGCAAGTTCAAGATAAGATTCAGTGCTAGTTATTTTCAAGATCATAACCCTTACTTCCCCTCAGCATTGCCTGCCTAATGTATGGACAATGCCCTCTGCAGATTCAAAACGTGGTTTCTTGYACTGCTATAAAAATCATAGTAGTATTTCATTCAAAATGTTTGAATACAGTGAGAGATCTGCACTTGTCATTAGTATCTTTAAAACTTGTGCACTTGAACTTACAGAAATACATCAGAACAAAACAGCCTTTGGGGGAGCACCACATTAAGGGTTCAATTTGCAGAGAGCAGGTATGTAAACATGAGTCGAAGTCAATGTAACCAAGCTGAACAGTTTCGTCACAACCTCCTTTATCTCTGCAGCTGCCAAACTGCCTTACAGTTTATTTTACCACCAGATGGCACTCAAGGACTGATGTAATTTCATACTTAGTTGCCTGAAGCAAACATTTTCCAAGACATTCACATAAAAGTCTTATTCAATGAATGTTACATTGCTAAAAGCTTCCAACAGTACAAAGATGCAACAGGAAAAGGACAAGCAACATCTCACCTATGGGGACGAGGATTTTGTTCACTGTCCAACATCTGAACATATTATATATGGCTACATCCTAGTGGTAAAGGACCCTGCAGCCATCTCTGCTTTGTACTGAAGCATATGATCAATAAACACACACATTAAAATATCCTACTGCAAATCCCTTTCCAGAGAGTAAGGCTTAGTTATTAATACAACCCATTACAGAAAACACACAAAACACTGCACAAAAATCAGATTTCAACTAGTTTCTGCACTGTAATAAGCTCAACAGTTCAACTTAAATCTGTATCTCACTTCCACAAACTCAGCTCTTCCCATCCAGGGTCTTACCTTCCAAAGATCACTCCCAAGCAATTAACAGCTAGAGGTGCTAACAACTGTTCACATATTCAAATACTGGGGCCACTTACTTTCTTGACTGGTATTTTCAGTTCTTCCTCATCTTCATCCAAGTCATCTTCATCACTATAATCAAAAGGCAGTCAACTCACCACAATTCAGGATTTTCAAGCATAGCCAATGACTTTATTCAGTAAGAATTCATCTTGCTTTTTCAAAAAAATCTCATTAGAGAAGGAAGCTTTTCAATTGTGCCTCAGACTGCTTGGTCAAGTGTCAAACCCCTCTATTTACTAACAAAGCGAAGTGTGCTGAAAAGCATGCACTTTAATACTTAAAATAATTCATTCTGAAATGTTCTACTTGATGCAAACTATCACTAAAGAAGGAATTCTAAATTTAAAGTTACTGATCTACCAGAAACTAAGTCTTCTAGCCCAATGTGAGAGATTTAAAAAGCATTTTGAAAGTYACAGTTTAGCTTAGAATGTGGACAATGGCTTGATGTTATTTTGCACTTCTGCAGCTAAGATTTCCTGACGTATTCACGTTGGGTCCTAAGTAATCCATATTCTGAAGGTTTCCCATACAATGGTATTTCCCAACACCCTCAAATCAGAAATACATACTCATCATCGTCATCCTCATCGTCGTCGTCATCCTCATCATCTTCTGACAGTTTTGCTTTTTTCTAATAAGAAGAAATAAGTCTGGTAAGCGTCAATACTATAGCAATCTTGACTTCAATTTGCAGCATAAGATGGTCTCAAATCTAGCTAATATCAAAAACTATATAATATACTGCTCAGCTTTGTTGTGTAAATTTGTCTGCGACTGTGACCTGGCTAATCAATTATTAGGAAAGCCAGGAAGACAATGCCATCTCTGCACACACAAAGGCACCTATAAAACAATAAGATGAACAATACTAAGTGTTTCTATCTCATGTAGAAAATCCACATTTATCTGTTTCTACAATTAAGGCTTGTTAGATGCCCATAAAACCTCTTCATGGTTTGCAGCAAATTAGGTAAAACTGCTTACTCCTAAGCAGCATTAACACCAAACAATTCTAAAGAATGCAGATCAGCTGATTTAAAAACAACATGCCTGTGGTGTTTTAGCTCCTCCACCACTTGCTGGTCTCTTTGTCGAGGCRTTCACAACTTTTGTGTCATCTTCCTCATCATCTGACTCTGGTTCTTCCTCTAGTGCTGGTAAAATGAAGATGTACCAAAAATTCACTCAATATTAGCGAGAACAAGATACTAATGAAGATATAAGACAGATACCAGAAGGCTGTCACCCAGAGCTGAGACAGCCCACCTGAATTTGCTGGAATTCAAGCACACAAAAGCCTCTTATGAGAAAACTAACCACTGCGGTCTTTCTCCAGGTGACTTTTATGCAGACACTACAAAGTCCAAATCCACTGCAGATGAATAACCACCCACACACTGCCTGGAACATCTCCCTCAGGAAAGCAGCCCATGGAGAACCTCTGCACRAAAATGGCTTTTCAAAAGTAGCTTTACCTACAGATAAAGCAGGTAGTCCTGGCTTTAGTCAATAGAACAAAATCCAAAATATATCAGGAGAGTCTTCTCAAAACCAACTGATGAAGTAAAAAGCTTKCAGCTGGGGAGATTAACACTCATGTTTAAGGGAAACGGAATTAGAAATTAAAAAGGTGGCAAAGTCCCCTTCCTCCTACAAAATATTGGACGACTATATATATTTCAAAGTTTATTTCTCAACTCTTACCTTCAAAGCACCTCAATACCTCACATCCCTCAACAGACAATTAAAGATTTGAAAAAAAAGTATTTGAGAGGCATTGCTTATGTTACTGATTACATCATCCATGAAATTCTGTTCTTGCTGATGGGTAGTGAGATCATAAGATTCTGCCCCACAGGTTTCCAGATGCTAGAGCATGGAACATTTCCAATACTGACACCTTAAGCAGACCAAACTGTTTTAACAGCTGTTGATATGAGTATTTAATCTCTGGACATTGAAAAGGTGTTCTACTTTGCAAATCAACAAATTTTACTTTTGATAAGCAGCAAAGAGATTAATACATACCTACAAGATGCTGACCACTGACATATACAGGCCCCGAACCACATTTCAATCTCAAGACCACTGGTGGTGTAATCTCAAAGCCACCTAGTGAAACCTGAGGAAAAAAATATCACAATTTATTAGCATATTAAGGTCATGCACATAACAATGAAAGCAAGTGCACCAATATTTGCAGATTCCAGGGCTAATACAATTACAAGAAGCTTTACTCAGAACAGAACAAAATATTCAGAACAGAATATTCTGGAATATTCAGAACAGAATATTCCAGAAAGGTTTATGGAATCCATTCATGCTGATCACTGACAAGCAGGCAATTTCTATACATTTTGGTCAATCCTGAAGCTCTTCTACTGTTTTTCCTGGTGTGAGAGACCAAACTTACAAGCACACATCCTTACCGTAGGCTGTACTGACATCTTCAGCGATGCCAGTGTTACTTTAATGGGGTTGCCTTCGTAGTCCAGTGCTTCTGCTTCGACGACATGTAGCTCATCTTTCGCTCCAGCCCCCAAAGTAACCTGTAGAAGTAAGCAACAGAGCAGAGTGAGACTCTTCAAATACCACAAATATTTTAAAATACTGCTGAGCACCTCTTAAGATAGAAGTCTGTATTTCTGGACAGGCTCATCTGTATTTCCCCATGTCCCCTYCCCTTTAACACTGGCATGTAACAGATACAAGACATTTCAGGACACTATTCCATCAAAGTGAAGTGGATACATTCTACTGGCTTACTGCTTTGAAGTGGGTCAGTGACAAGCTCAGGCTGCACCAGAGCTGTCCCAAAGGAAGCAGTACAGATATGTGGCTAAGGGAAACACCTGCCATTACCACTGCACAATTAAAAAAATTCAAGTCTCTTCCCTTCCTGCCATGCTTCACCTGCCAATTGCTTCAATGCAACTTTTACATGACAAATCACTTGTTTGCTTGAGTCTTCCATGAGCAGTGGAGTGTTACAGCTGCTCAGTTCAGTGCCATAATTTAAGCATGGACTTTCTGCGGTGACATAGTCACTTCACAAGATGCAAAAACTCTTGCTGCAGGGAGCAAAGTGAGTGACAGACATAATGCAGGCCTGAAATTCCTGTTCTGTAAGGCAACAGCACCTGAGTCAGGGTTACAACACAAGAGACCTGAAGCACAAGAAATTCCCTTCTCAAGGGAATACAGTTATTCCTAAGACAATCAACACAAGGTTCACTGTTCCTTTTTCAGAGACCCCTGAAAGGAGAGCTTCCTTCTCCCTCTCCAGGGGAGATCTGGGTGTAAACACCTCAGGCAGGCAGCAGCATGGATATCATGTTTCCATTCTCTGCTTCTAGCTTTAGTCATCGGGACAAGACAGATCCAAGTGCATACTGTGAAAAGMGGATATAGGATTTCCCACTCCTGGCAAGTTTTGTTGGGCAAATCGAAAGAGTAAGTGTGCAATTGTTACTCTTTGCTCTCAAAAGGGTCAGGAGCAATACACCCATCCTCACAGACAGTCCCTGGAGCTAAGAATTCCACTTAATACCACCTCACCTCTCAGTTACTCCTGTCATTCGCATATTTTAAGCAATATATACTATTTTATCAACAACCAATGCCAAATACCTAGCAAGTATTCATCTATGTGCTTTAACTTCTATACTGAGGGTAAACAATGTATTCACAAGTATGTAAGAAAATGGAGACCATACCTTCTATGTTTATGACTGTCATTATGACCAGGCATTCAGGAATACCCCCAAATAGCCATTCTTACCTCTACATGCATCAGTGCTCCTCCTCTTTCAGTTATATGCTTTCTATAAAGTTTTTGTGCAATTCATACCAAAGCCCCTGCCACACCTGCATGTTGGCATCTTTATTCATGTAGTTTTATCAGGTTTACAGACCTTAGTCATCATCTTTAAAAATTTTATTCTGCTTGCCAAGGGGATTTTTGTTTCCAGATGCCACTCAGCTCTCCTCGCCTTTCAGATATTCCGTGTCACTCCGTTTTTCAGCTATCTTGCTCCTCTTACCAATTGTCTTTATTGGAGTTTGAAAGGAAGTCCTCTGACCTTGACTTTCAGAATTAGATTTCCCCCCTTAGAAAGGTAAGTACCAGTGCTAAAGGTCCATCAATTTATCTCATGCCCCATAAAGAGGGGATAACATCCAAAAGAGGTGGTGCAGGTCATTTTTCAAAACCAACAACTTTGATTAGAGACACCCAAGTCAGGCATCACTCCATGGCTTGTGCCATGTGCACTATTAGCACGCAGCTAGGAGAACAACCTGCATGAACTTGCCCTGTCCATACTCTTAACATGTTTTTCCTTAAAATTAAATTCCAAAATGTCACTATTTAAGCACAAAGTAGCCACTGTCAGSTCTCAATAGTGCTTTTTATAAAATGCAAGCATGCTACGAACATGGTCCCACAAAACACCCTAACATTTAAAATCATGTGATAAACTATGTATTACTTGGAATAAGTTTTAACTCKGACAACCTTTATTACCCTGGATTCCAATAGGAACCCAAAACTCCAAAACATATTTGGAAGTATCAAGGCATGTTTCTACATTTAAATAATTGGGCTATTAAATRCTATACTGAAGTATACAAATGTGACAAATATTTAAGTCTTTTGCCTACTAAGTAGTGCCATGTTACTTTTTTTTGCTAGCCAAAAAACAAGTCACACGCCCAGTCCAGGCAACAGATATGTAATGTCCTTCTTGCTTGGACAGTAGAAAAAAGAACATAATTAAAACTCTCAACATGCAAATTTTGGAATAGAAGGAGTTAGAAAATTCAGTGAGAAGCTGCTCCATCAGATCAAGTGTCTGAATAAACGATGGCATTTCCCATAACATGCTTAAAAAAGGGCCAACRCTACTAAAAATGTAAAAGAACATTAGCCTTCTTCCTCCCCAACTTACATGAAATATTAACTGCTAACAGGAAAAGAGCACTGAAATTGTTTGATCAACATATGAAAAAAACTTTGAAAATAAACGTTCATCAGTCTGCATCCATCTGTGAACAGAATAATGCAAATCCAACAACCCTAGCATTCCTGAAGGATCTAAACAACAGCAGAATCTGCTGCAACAAGCATCCCAGAAAATATATGCCTGTTCTTTCTTACAGTRAACTTTTATTGCCCTGTTGTGAGTTTTTTTTTCACATCTTCTTTAAACCTTGTACCTTGTACCATATGCCAATGAAACAATGGAGAAATTTCCAGGCAAAATGGGATGCTCAGTTCCTAAGGGCAGATTATCTAGCTAATCGACACAAAAGACTTGGAAATACCAGTGRAAGAAGCAAATCCATGTCACAAAAGCTCACTTCCCGTGACGTGGAATATTAACTACTTAAGAAGTGAACTAAAACTCGCAAGTTAAAATAACAAGTACTTGCCGTTCTCAAAGACAACTGATGCTCGTTTTCTTCATCGTCTACCTTGAACTGATACTCCTTGTCTGCTTTAAGCTCGCAGCCTGTGGAAAGACCATCGCGCTGTAAGCAAAGCCTTAAAGCGCAGGGACCCGCGTGCTCCTCGCGCCCTTGCAGCCCAAGGCCCCGCGTGGGAAGGCGGCGGCCTCCACGCGCACGTGGCCCTGCAGCAGCCGCGTGGCGGGGGGGGAGGAACCCCAAGCGGCGGCGCCCACCACGCGGCGCCTCCGCACGCGGCGGCCATGGCGGCCCAGGCGGGCCCATC